GGGCTCCGCTCCGGGTCTGCCCGCGGGGCCGCGCTCGCCGCGGAGCAGTTCTCGCGCCTGGCCGTCTCGGCGGTGGTGACGGCCGGGGTCGGTGCCAGGCTTCTGCCGCGCGGGGTGAGTGTCCGCCACCCCGGCCCTGCTGTCTCCTCGGGCGCCGGGCGTGGGGACGCTCCCGGGCCGCCTGCGGGTGCTGCGGTCCCCGGAGCCCGCGATCGCCCAGCTGTTCCGCCGCGCTCGCCGCGGAGCAGTTCTCGCGCCTGGCCGTCTCGGCGGTGGTGACGGCCGGGGTCGGTGCCAGGCTTCTGCCGCGCGGGGTGAGTGTCCGCCACCCCGGCCCTGCTGTCTCCTCGGGCGCCGGGCGTGGGGACGCTCCCGGGCCGCCTGCGGGTGCTGCGGTCCCCGGAGCCCGCGATCGCCCAGCTGTTCCTCCTGTGTTTGTTGTGCCGCGGAGGCCGACCCGCAGCCGTGCTCGCTGCCTCGCGCCGGGCAATTGGCTGGCGGGCGTCACGTGGGCGCGATCAGCTGGGCCTGTGGCTGCGGGCGGCCTGGAGTGGGACCTGCAGCTGCCAGGCAAGTCCACCCGGTGCGGGCTCGTTCGCGCCGCCCGCCTCTTGCGGACACTCGCTGCCCGGCGGTGGGTGTGCTGCCTGTACTCGCCTCTTTTCTACGCTGCTGCGCACGCAGGTAGGTAGGACGGACGAGTGTTAGGAGCCCGCGGTGTGGGCAACTGCAGCGCTACCACGGTCGGTTTAATCCGCACCCAGACTCATTTCCCTTCGAAGGGAGAGCCAGGGAAGGGCTGCAGCTCATTTATTTTTAAACTTTTCTCTGTTCACAGAGCCCTATGGATGGAGGGTTTTTATTCCAGATCTCCTTTGACAGATGAAAAACCTGAAGTAACCCCAGGCTAAGCTTGTCTTTGGAAAATAGACTTGCAGGTGAAGTAACTGGCTTGGTGTAGGGTATCTGTTAGCCAGTTTTGCATAGCCGCGCACACAGGGTTGCAGTTGCCTTCCAACAAAGAAGCCAAAAGCATGCAGTGTTTCCAGGGTCCATATTTATGCCAGATGTGAAGTGCCTTGATGGATTATTTTCCTAAAAGTTGATCGCATACTTACTTGTAGTGGGGTGGATAGGAAGGAAATAACCAAGAAACGGAGTCTTTTGTCGAAGCCTCCAATTTAGTAAAAAGTTATAGACCAATGACACTGAGTAACGATACAAAGTGAAACATTGGTAAGTTAGGAAATGAGTGCTAAAAAGTTCAAAAAATGGGGCAGTGAGAAACCAGGAGGAGGAAGTAGGGAATATTCCGAAGTGAATTGCTATTAGGCCTAGAAAGGGCAGGTGAGCTTACGGAAAAAACGGGCCTGGAGCTTTTAAAGCCAGCAACAAGTTGGAGTTTGTGGAATTTGGCAGTATGTGGAGATATGTATGTGTGTACATACAACTTCCTGTGTACTAGAACACAACCTATTGTGTACACTCTGGTAGAAACTAATGTCTGGTTTGTTTTGCTTTGAGATAGGGCCTTACACTGTAGCCCACACTGGCCTTGAACTCTTGGCAGTCCTCCTGTCAGCATCTTCAGCCTGGAATTCCAGGTATGCTAATGTCCGTCTTCTATCCTCATCCGGCCTGTGTTCAATACAGATTTTTTTCCCCTTAGTTTTTGTCTTGTAGCCGTCTGATCTCTAGGAAAGGCACATACTGAAATATGCTCAATTATCTGGTCAGATTATTGAAACTTTTCTCCAGACCTCTTTGCCTTTTCTGTCTCCTTTTTAAGTGGGTTTAAAACAGTACAAAGTAAAAGGAAGGCTGGTAGATGGCTCTGCAAGTAAAGGTACTTGCCACCAAGTCTGACAACCTGAATATGATCCTAGGGAACTACATGGTGAAAGGAAAGAACTCTGCTCCCCAGCACATAAATAGATAATAGTAAATTGTTTTAAATGAAATAAGGCCAAAAAATGTCTGGGAAAAAAATTAAACTTGCTACTACTTTAAAAAAAAAGTGAGAAATGAAGCTAGTCCTAAGTGCATATTCATTAGATATGAAGATAGCCCCGAGTATATTTGTGTCCAGAATATATTTATGTTTTATGGTGCCTTGATGGTTATCTAAATTAATATTATTTCTCTGATAATGCTGTGTGGTAATGCATGTGTTATTTAGGAACCAAATCTTTGCTGAACAAGAATTTGTTCTTTGATACCTCAATCTGCAAACCAGACATTAAACTATACAGTAGCCATCCAGCAAGAAGCTTTTAGTACTGAACACAACAAATAGGTGATGTTCGTCTTACCCAGATGTTTTGGGGTAGATTACCAGTTCAGATTGTTTGCTGACTCACCATTAGCTGCTGAGTTATGCGGCTGGACTTTTCTAATGATGATTAAGCAATGTTACAGAGATATCGTAAACATGGAAATTGCTTACCCAAACGAAATAAATATTATTTTAGGAGAGATGAGCAGATCCATATGCTTAAATTACTGTCAGGTTGAAGACCTGATCTCAAGAGCAGGACATCATGTGACACAGTAGAGTAAACTGATAACTGATAGAGCATTGCAGGAGGGTAACATGGCTGTCTTGTGTCACTGAAACTTGGCTTGAAAAATGCTTTGTACAAAAGTAGGAAAAGTGGGCTGGGACTATAGCTTAGTGGTAGAGTGCTTGCCTGGCATGCACACGGGACTTGGTTTGATGCCCAGTATTACAGAAAAGAATAGAAAATTGGTTTTATAGGCTGAATTATTATTTTCCCATGTAGGTTTTCAGGAGAATTTTATCACAAGTCAGTACAAAAAATAGTTGATGAAACTACAGTGGCATCAGATGCTTAATATAGTAATTAACCCAGCTATTAAAGTTTTATAGTTTTCTTTCCTTTTTAGCGAGGAGACTGAAAACCATATATACGGCTATACTTCCAAATGAATCTCTTTCAGCAGGATCAGAACTACTTTTTGAAGATTCCTGTAACCCATCCTATACTAGGCCCCTGTGTGCTACATTCCCTGCTGCAAAGTCTTTATACTTGGCTTTGTTTTTTCCCCCATCTAGTACAGTGCCCTCTCTGGTCAGTCTGTTGGTGGAGAAACTCTGTGAGTGTGAGTGGGTGTTCTGTGGAAATGTCCTGAGGACATGTAAGGAAAACTCTCTGAACTGGGTGCTTTTCCACCACAAAGTCCTGTGCAATGCAAATAGATACCTATTCTTCCTGGTATTTTTAGAACTGGGAAGTGGTGCCTCCTTAGGCTAAATCCATTTGCCAGGTTGAGACCAAACTGGATTATTAATTATAGAGAGGGAAGGTACCTGTTTTAAGACCTAGGGTTGTGACACTAAGAATTCGTTCTGCTTGTTATTTCTATTACCTGATTACTTAATATGGCTATAATCAGTGGGAGGTGAAGCTGATTGTTACTGCTTCATGTCCATTCTGAACCCTGCTCCTCATCTATAATGGGGCAAAGTTGGACTGGGATGTGTTGTAAATGGTAATCTACTTGTGCTGACCTTTATTTCGCATTCTCTGTATGCAAAGTACTGTTATAATAGTTTCTCCACTTAATTTTCATGCAGAGATATGTACTGCTGTCACAAGTTACAGATGAAACAGTAATTTGCCAAAGTTGACAAAGGTGTTGAGGGAGAGAGAGTTGAGGTGTTAGAGTCTGGCTTCAGAGTTCAAGTAGCTAGTCCATACTGTATAAGTCCCTGGGTGTAGGAAGGAGGCAGCAGCTGGTATGTATTACTGATTTGTATAATCTTTATATAGTTCAACTTGCTGAACTAGTTACAAAATGCTAAAGATTTTTATTTATTTTTGAAACAGAGTCTGTCACTATAGGCTCTCCTGGAACTCCCTGAGTGCCCCAGGCTGGCCCTAACTGCCTGGATACTTCTTCCCTCAGTCTCCTGAGTTCTGGAATTGCAGGCCTGAGTCACCGTGCCAAGCACAGAAAGCCAAAGATTTTAGCTGGAAAAAAAAAATCCATGAAGAAAATAGGACTAGAAATCAACTGATCTGGTCAAATATTCCTATTCTTAAACCTGACTGCCAACCATGTTTCTGTTTTTCTGAAAAAGTCTTTAAATGAAAAGCTTTTTTCCCTATTAGAATGTGTTTTTAAACAGGGGAAACTTTTTTTTGGTAAGGAATGAGATAGTGACTGTTTTGAATTTTGCAAGCCATCAGTTCATATAATAACCACTCGGACTCTGCCATGATAGCCAGAGAGCAGCTGAGCATAAATGAAGAGGTATCACTACATCCCAAAGAAATTTCATCAGCACTAGAATTTGAATTTCATATAATGTAGGTGTGTCATAAGATACTTGGTATTTCCTTTTCATTTAAAAGAATAACATGAAGCCAGGTGTGGTGGCACACGCCTTTAATCCCAGCACTTGGGAGGCAGAGGCAGGTGGATCTTTGTGAGTTCGAGGCCAGCCTGGTCTACATAGTGAGTTCCAGGACAGCTGGGGCTACAAGGAGACCTTTCTCAAAAAAAAAAAAAACAAACAAAAAAACACCATGTTTAGCTTATGGGTAGTTAATTGGAGTTGAGCTAGATTTGGCCCATAGGCCTTGATTTGCTGATCCCTGTTTTTAGGAAAAATACTCAGCAATGAGCCAGACCAAAAATGAGATGATATATTTCAATTATTAGTATATATATGAAAGAGGCCCCAACAGGCTTTGTTCATTTGTTTTTAGACAGGGTCTTCCTATAGCCTCAGCTGACCCGGAGCTGGCTATGTAGACCAGGCTGGTCTCAACCTCACAGAGGTCTACCTCCCTCTGCTTCCTGAGTGCTGGGACTAAAGATGTACACCACCACGCCGAGCTTAATAGGCTTTTAAAATCATTGTGTCATAACCTGGAAATTATACAACCCATCATGTCCAATTTTTAAAATCATTCATTCCTAGGGACTTTGTCTTTCATGGATTCCTGAAAGAAAAATATCATTACTATTTTTTAATTTTACTGATAATTTAAATTCTATAGATTATAACATATTTAAGCTGGGCCTGGTAGCACACACCTTTGATCCCAGCACTAGAGAGGCAGAGGAGGTGCATCTCTGAGTTCAGGGCCAGTCTGGTCTGGTCTAAAGAGTGAGTTCCAGGCCAGCTGGGGCTACAGGGAGACCCTGTCTCCAAAAAAAAAAAAAAATTAAAAAGCGGATCTCTGAGTTTGAGTCCAGCCTGACCTACATAGCAAGTTCTAGACCAGGAAGAGAGCTACATAGTGAGACCTTGTCTTAAAAAAAGAAAGAAAGAAAAGAAAAGAAAAAGGCGGGAAAAGCCTTACAAAAGGTAGGTAGATGGCTAAGAAAGCTATTTGGAAGGAGAAGAAATTGAAAATAATTGCTAAAATACGTATAAATTTCATCCTGGTATCCCTCGGAACTTCAGGTAATGTCAGATACACTGAGAATGGGCCACTCACTAAAGAAACAAGTTTGATACTTCAGACTTTTTAAGATTTTTTTTAGCCTGGAATTATATAAAACTACTACCAAAAGGACATATTTATAAAATTATCTGGGAGATGTTAACTTACTAAAATAATAAGTTGGTGGTTGTACTTGAAATATTGATGTAGAGGGGAGCATTTTAAGTTAAAACTTCAGCTGTACTGTAATAAGCTTGACCCTAATTTCAGCCGTACATAGACCTGCAACACTGAAAAATATCGAATTGTGCATTTTATTGTAACTGGATACAGTAATTATAATGGGCTACAGTAAGGTGCTTCAGAATTGATTAGAGTTCCAATAGCTATGGAAACTTGTAGAGATTAGAAATTTTGCTAAGTCAACCAAAATTACTAGCTTATGTGGGGAATATTTTAGGTGTAAAAATAATCACAGAAAGCTGGTTAGTGGTGCTAACGACTGGAGGTGGGGGTGGTGGGTGAGAAAGGACTAGCTGCAGACTATTTTGTGGGAATGATTGAAATATTCTAAAGCCAGTTTGTGATGATTGTGGAATAACTTTGTACATATACCAAGATTCATTGAATGATGTGGTAAATAAGTTTATCATATGTAAAATATTTCTTAATAAGCTGTTTGGATTTTTGTTTTCTTTTGCTATGCCGGAGAGATGCTGGGGATGGAACCCAGGCCTTTCATAATGCTACCAAGCACTGTACCATGGAACCACACTGCTAGCCCAATAAAGTTGTTTGGGAGTCACCAGTGTTCCTCTTTCTGTACTGAGGGGTCAAACCCAGAGCCTCACATGTGCTAAGGCAAAGTTCTCTATCACTGAGCCACACCCCTGGCTATTTTTAAAGTTTTATTTTGAGACGGGGTCTCACTAAATTGCTCAAGCTGGCTCCAAACTCAAAATTCTCCTGCCTCAGATTCTGTAGGTAGGTGGTGGTGGGGGTCTGGTAAAAACCTCTAGCTGTGGCATAGACCTATACTTCCTATACTTAAGAAACTCAGGTAGTATTCTAAGCTCAAATCAACCTAGACTACATATATAGCAGGACCCTGTCTCAAAAACCCAGTTTTTATTCTGCCAAAATGTTTGATCATTTATATAGAAGCTGTCAAATGGAGCTTTTAGAAGAGGGTGGCTGAATTCTATTTCTCTGGCTGTATTCTGTAGCACCAATTCAACACAAAGGCAGTATTGCTTCTGAAAGTATGCTGCATTTAATAAAACACAGTGATCATGACAGTCTTAGATGTGATGAGTGTCTGGATTACGATGTTGACGGGGAACGAGAAAAGGCTTCCAAGACAGTGGCTGAGAGGAACTGTTGTTTCCAGCTTTGTTCTTTCTCTTTATAATTTTAGGGGAGTGTACGATTAGATTGCCACGCGGATAGGAAATACAGGACAAATGGCTCATGACAAACCTATGGAGAAAAGTCTGTATCAAGCAGCTGTTTGGTCACTAGAGATGAGTAGAGTGAGAATTAGAACCACGATCTAGTTTAGAGCCTAGTTTGGCTACCTGTGCAAGGTTATATGATCTATATTTTTTCATCTATAAAAGTAGGATAATACGTATGTGTATATATGTATATAATTATCAGAGCCAAATGATGCACACCAAATGCAGTATCCCATACAGTGGAGACACTTGGGTCCCAGAGTACAATATACTATTCAAGTCCAGAGAAGTTCAGTGACTCCTGACTTGAATGATAGTCCTCCTTAAAGAATAAGATAACTTTATCTTTGTCTGTTCAGGCTACTGTAACCAAACATTGTAGGCTGGGTGGCTTATAAATAGAAATTTATTTCTCATAGTTCCAAGATCAAAGCACCAACAGAAATGGTGTCAGTAAGGGCCTGTTTCCTGGTTCGCTGATGGTCCCTTTAGCTGTGTCTTCATGGTGAAAAAGGGACAAGGCAGCTCCCTGGAGCCTCCTTATAAGCCACTAATCCTATAATGAGAGTTGTATCTTCATAACCCAATGACCCCCATATGCCGTCACATTGGTGATTAGGTTTCAACATGCAAGTGTTATGGGGACACAAACTTTTCAGATATGCAGCCTGGACACAGTTTGAGTAAGTGTCAGTTCTAGGTTAAAATTTCTGACCTTTGTAAAGCTAGGATTACCCCTGGAATCTAATGACCACAGATTTTGATGACAAATGATGTTCTGCTTCTGCTGCATTCCGTGACATTCTAGCTTTTTTTGGCAAACAACTACATTTTATAGTTCTAAATATGTATGTATAAATGTAAATGGCAATCACAACTTGGAGTCCTGTAACAAGATTCTACCCAGATATTTTTAGTCTTGATAATGAATCATATAATTGAAGCCAGTAAAAATACTAGAGTAAAAAATAGAATGAATTTGAAGTAGGAAAGAGAGGGCATATTAAATCTGTTTTCCCTCAGTACCAAATGGTTGGTCACAGCTGTTTTACAATACTGAGCCAAAGATAGAATGATATAGGTAGAAGGTACAGAAAAAAGTTCATTTGGAAGGCCAGGACATTTTCCACAGTTAACTACTTACTGTAGTTAAATTATAGTAGGAGTCTGTTGCTTTAAAATTTGATCTAAAATTGCCTTTAAAATGAAGTTAGTACTGCCAGCCCTGAGCAGTGGTTGGTACACAGATCTGCTCACCTCCTCTTCTCAAGCTAGAGTCCCTCTTGGTTTTGTTTACTTAATTTATTTTGATGTTGGAGATGGATATGGGATTCAGTCCTCAAGTATGTTAAGCATATGCATTACCATTGAGCTATATCCTTTTCTTATTTTTAAATTGCACTTCTGCCTGCTCCTATCAGATCACCCCATTCATACACCATACTCCTAGCTTTCTCTTAAGCTACATATGTTCAGAACGCACACTTAATGCTGGTGCTATGTTTTCATCTCTATGTCAATACTTGATAATCATTCAGGCTATGAAATTCCACTTTTCCTTTTTTTGTTTCCTCACACCAACCAAAAGAGAAGTGATACCATTCCCTCGTCTTGCCTAAGCGCATTTCTTTTGGTTCAGTGTTTCTAAAAGGTACTTAGCTTGGGGGATCCTGTTTATTCAGTATGTGAACTTTGGCTCCTTCTGTTCAGGGTCAGCTGTTTCACACAACAAGCACTAGGAAAACAGATTACTTGTAGGTAAATGAATAATTTATTACTATGGCTGCTAACCAACTTTGTTTTAATGTCTTTTCTGTTTTTTCCTAGGGTTTTAGAACTTCAGTTGTCAAAATGGGCAGAATTTTCCTTGATCATATTGGTGGTACTCGTCTGTTTTCTTGTGCAAACTGTGATACGATCCTGACCAACCGCTCAGAGCTCATCTCCACTCGGTTCACAGGCGCCACTGGTAGAGCGTTTCTTTTTAACAAGGTTGGTGGGAAAAAGTTTCGTTACTCCATGGTGCCAGTGGATGTATCTGACGACAGCACCACCAGAATGCTCCCTTGGAGCTCACAGACACCAGCACATCCCAGAATGAGAGCTGAACTCTATGAAAGTGACTGCCATTAGCTTGTTTCTGATTGTGATCTCAGGGAGACATTACTAGAATGGGACATTTCTGATAAAACTTAATGTATTAAAAGACAAGGGGTGCTTCCTAGCACTTTGGAAGCAGAGGCAGATTACCCCAAGTTGAAGGCCAGCCTGGGATACATAGTTCCAAGACAGTAGGCAAGCTTCAACCTCAGAGGAATAACTACAGTTAAAAAAAAAAAAAAAAAAAAAAATCGGTCTCCATTTTTTCAGTAAATGCTCATGTAAGAATTTTAATGTGGAAAAGAGGCTGTTACCCCCTTTGCTCCCTCATATAGCACAGATTGATCACAAGTGAGATAATCATAGTGAGCTATTGTAGCTAACCAGTTTGCTCTCATATTCGTGATTACCTTATTTGGGTCAGCCAACAAGAAAAGCCCTTACAGATTTGCAAATGTGTGTCTAGTCTGCTTGCCTCTGAAATTTCAACTTGTTTTGAGATTGTTTGATGTGATTGTGGCTCCTGGAGCCTAATGTATACTGGCCAGGTTAAATTCCAAATCTTTTAGGCTAAGAAATAAACCTAGTCTTGAGTTAGTGTTTTCATAAGATAAACTTCCTAGTGAACATTCCTCTGTTCCTTTTAGAAGGAAGCTTTTTTTTCTTTTGGAGCATCAATAGTGTGTTTCCCTTGGCATTTTTAGAGAGCAGGGGTTGATATACTATGGCAGGCTAGCTGCCTGTTATTGTAAATAAATAAAGTAATAGAGTTCAGTCTTGCTCTTGTTTTTTCCTGTTACAGTGTTAGTTAGAATTAAGACCACACTCAAAGCCAAAAACATTTACCATCTGATCCTGTAGACGATTGTTGGGCATTCACAGTGATTAAAAATGTTTCCAGTGTCTTAGACTCTACTTCTAAATGTTCAGAGTCTTTGAACTTACTTGAAAACTATGTTACATTGTATGATTCGTGGTAGGCTTTGTCCCCACTCTGTGTGTGTGTAAATACATAGAGAACAAATAGGACAGTCACTTTATAAAAAGATCAGTGGCACTGTCATAGCTTCTTTGATTATCTTGTACTCATTGTTTCATAGTGAATTGTAGCAATTAGGCTTAAACTTGTATCCTATGACTTCATTTCCAGGTCTCTATTCACTACACCCAGAAATATAACTACCATGTGTAAATGGTGAGACTGGGGCTAAATACAGTAATGCATAAAGATTGCATCAGATACCCAGTACAGTGCAATTTCCAGATGTTTACCTATCTCAGCAATTATTTTCTTTTTTGATGTATTGCATGGAGGTGGCGGTCTTAACAAGGTCTCCTATAACCCAAGCTGACCTGAAACTGACCTCTGTAGGTGAGGATGGCCTTGAACCTCTATCTATCCTCCTGCCTCTACTTCCCAAGTACTAGGATTATACCCTATGCTACCAGGCCCAGCTATCCCAGGAACTTTTAAAACCAGTTCTGGGAAGGGTATTGTAAATTTGACTAAAGCAATAACTTCTGTGTTCTAAACTTGCTTGGTGGTTTGTTTTGAGGCAGGGTCCCTCTATGATGTAGGTTGGTCTCAACTCAAACTCATGATTCTCCTCTGTCAGCCTCCCCAGGCTAGGATTACAGGCATGTACCACCATATAATCCTTGTTTATTAATTTATTTATTGTATTAAGTGGCAAACAACTTACATGATTTTACATATATATGTATATATTTTTTTATCATGTTTCTTAGGTAGTTAACTTGCAGTACAGTGAAGTTCAAGATCGGGTCATGCTCACTGGCCGCCACATGGTTCGAGATGTGAGCTGCAAAAACTGCAATAGCAAACTGGGATGGATCTACGAGTTCGCAACTGAAGACAGCCAACGTTATAAGGAAGGTCGTGTGATCCTGGAACGTGCTCTAGTTCGAGAGAGTGAGGGCTTTGAGGAGCATGTACCATCTGATAACTCTTGAAGAAAACAAAGTAAATCTGTCTTTTCCCAGGTCTCCTTCACTGAAAACAAATCTACTTACATACACTGTCACCTTAGCATCAGAGTCGGATTCATGAACTGCGGAACAAGAGGTTATGAGAATCTAAGATGGAATCTTCTTTTCTTTCTTTTTTCCTTTTTTTTTTTTTTTTATATTTATCCATCCAACAGCAGTTTCTAGAGAGAATATTATGCAGATGCCGTTGAATTTTTTTTTTCTCCCCCGTGTTTACATCCTAAGGCAGAAGCATCTATCTGCAGCTACATGGTGGGCTATGTAAGGGAAAAAATTGGAGCTATTAGAGTGGAAATGTGTTTTATGTAAATTTTGAGTGGGGAACATGGCAAGAGCATGATTTTTAAACTTATTTGGGCTTCATTTTAAACTTTTTTAAAAACCCAGTTATTTCACTTAATTTGCTAGCTTCAGAGAAGAGATCCGAATCTGTGCCCAGCGCTAAAGGCTCAGTGTTAGCGTGGCTTGTGCTGGCCAGTGTGCCATATTCTTGTTGGAGATGAACTGTAGCACCAGAGCCCATTCTTCCTTGTCAGTCTTGACCCAAAGATGTCACCATTCCTAGATACTTGTCACCACATAATTGGTGTTGATTGGAAACTTTCTGAAATGGGGCAGAACTGCTTGGTTGTCTTTTTCCATGTAACTTAAGCATAGTAATATAAATAAAGTAATAGTTGGATGTTTTTGGTCCTGTGTTGATTTTTAAAAATACTTTATATATAAAGAGCAGAGTATATGGTGTGATTTTCATAGTAGTTAACTGTTTCTTTTTTATCTTAAGCTAAATTAACTATGTTAAGGTATCCTTGTAAATGAAAGCATACTGTTTAAACTCACAGTATTACATTTAGAAAACAGTTGAACAGAATGTCAGTGTGCATCCATGCAAAAGGCATTAATCTGCATCTGTTCTAAAAGGGGGAGATGAAGCAGCTTATCTAAAAATACTGCTTCACCAAGCATTTCAGCCTTCCCCCTCACTTGTGTACTGATGTTGACAAGTCTTTGAGCCCAGTAGTTTCATCAAAGGACTAGATCTTTCCTTAGCATTATATTTTCAGATCATCCTTAGAAGAGTTCAGTTACTGTATTTGAACTGTACTTAGTACCCTCTTGGAAAGGAATCAGATTTGACTCAGGTTATTTTATGATAAAAATTTACGACATTACAAAGTATTAAAATGTGTTTCTTTACCCAGCCTCTTCTAGGTAAACTAATATTTGCTTTTTGCGGAATAATAAAGTGTCAGTAAAATTGGCTATTTATGCAAATGAATGAATGGATGTTATATGTTCAATTTCCAGGTCCTCTACAAAGGCAATTTGCTGCTGTTGAATTAGTGAAATATTTTCTGTCATTTATATTAAGAATGATTTCTTAGTACAGTTAAGTTTCTCACAGCGTAGTTATCTGATGAGGTATAATACTGCATTTCAAAGAAGTGAACACAATTCTTCATCTTCAACTTTATTGAAACCTTCAAGCATTAAGAACAGTATTCATTTCCACTGGTTTCTATATTGGCCTTTGGTGATATGCAGATTCCTAGTAGCATGCCTTACCTATAGCACTCTGTCAAAATAAAGCCTGTTTTGTCTTGCATTGCTGCAATATTGCTACTTATTTTTTACTGATCCTACTTAGTGATCATCTTCATTTTTTTCTCTCAGCACCTAACTGCTTTTGTTTGGTTTTCTGGTGGGTTTTTTTTTTTGTTTGTTTGTTTGTTTGCTTTTCATGTGTTTTGTTTTGCTTTGATTTTTTTGTTTGTTTTTTTATTTTTTATTTTTTAGAAGCATTTCATTACAGCTTTAACGTACTCAATAACAATTTCCAGAGCAAAGATACATCTCTTTCAAAAGTGGCTCTAAAATTTTTAGGTTCCCAGTTGAATTAATACTGTTATACACTATTGAGCTCAGTGTAAACCCTGTAAGACATAAAATTGGATGAATTTTTAACCTTTAAAAAAGATCTCCATTTCATTAGAATATATTGTTCCTTGCAGACAGACTCATCATCTCAGTGTTAGTAGCAAAAACAATGCACCTGTCTACAAGGTGGCACACAATTTTAACCCCAGTGCTTGGGAGGCAGAGGTAGTTGGATCTCTACAACTTTGGGGCCAGTTTGAACTACACAGCAAGTTTCAGGCCATCAAGAGCTACGGTGGTAATGTTCATCACCTCTAATACTTAACATGATGTAAATTTTTATGCTTCCTCTTCAAATATAACTCATTTTTTAAATTTGTTGATTTTTTTTTTTTTTGGTGTGTGTGTGTGTATATCACACAGAACATCCCAATCTTACTCATCTATATACCCACTTCCCAGATGGCACCCTCCCATAGCCGCCCCCCTCCACTGGAGCCCTTTTACTCAGTCTTCCCTGCTACTGTCTGCTGTGGTGTCAGCACCCCAGCTGTTCCCCAGTACTTGTCCATCAGGTGAATCTAGTCAGCCTATCTAGAGGTTTTTGTTTAGGAAAGTCAGCTGTTCGAGACAATGCCTCAGTGTGTGTCCCTGGCTGGCCTGGAATTCACTTTGTAGACAAGGCTGACCTTGAACTCAGATCTGCCAGCTTCTGCCTCTCAAGTGCGGGGATTAAAGGTATGCACTAACACACTTGACTCCATTGTGCCTTTTTTTTTTTTTTTTTTTTTAAACTTTTCTGAGACAGGGTCTCCTGTAGTCCCAGCTGAACTGGAACTCACTATGTAGACCAGGCTGGCCTCAAACTCAGAGATCTGCCTGCCTCTGCCTCCCAAGTGCTGGGATTAAAGGCGTGAGCCACCACACCCAGCCTCTATTGTGCTTTTTTAAGACAGGGTCTCACTATGTATCTCTGGCTAGCCTGGAACTTACTTGCTATGTCTTATGTAGACCAGGCTAGCCTTGAATTCAGAGAGTTCCACCCACTTCTGTCTCCCAGTGCTGAGATTACAGATGTACCCCCAATGCCTAGTTTACTCCAAGCTTTTGAATAGCTTTGTTTTGTTTTGCTTGACAGTGGTGGAAGTGATCATTAGCTCTAATTTATACACAGAGACATTGACTTTGTCAGTTAAACTTCTGAGATAATTTTGCCATAGATGCAGCTATGGTTTAGTATGTGCAAAAAAATTGGTTAGTATATAACTGCAAATAAATGCCATACTGTTAACAGTGGTGACTGGCAAAACAGTAAGCTCTCTATTCCCTCATTTTAAGAACTTGATTTGCTAGGTAAAGGTATAGTACAGTGGTAGTTTCCTTAGCATACAAAGACTGCAGTCCCTAGCACTGCAAAAATATAAACTCAGTTTACAACAAATGTTTTAAAAATTGGAGGATCCAGTCAGATTAGATTATTTAAATAAAATTTAAGCATCTTTTACTTCAGTTGGGATTGATTACCAGTACTAAAAGAGTGTAGTGGTTCACATATGTAAAACCAGCTCTTCAGAGATGGATTTATAAGTTCAAGGCCTTCCTGGACTGTAGATAATTTCAAGCCAGTCTAAGCTACTGCATGAGACTCTCTAAAGAATAAACGAAAACATGATTTTTCTGTGGTAGGGACATTAACTGACCAAAAATAATATTTTAATATACTGCTTAATGCATGCAGGTATATAAGTATAACCTTTGTCCCTTTGTTTGAAGAGTTTAGCATTCTTAGATTAGGTGCCAGTGATTATTAAACATGTTTTTAGTTTAAAAAAATTTTTTTTACATTTACTTGAAGGGGGGTATGCATGTGGCGGTCAGAGGACAGTCCTCAGGAAGGGTTCGCTCTACCATGTGAGCCAGTTCACAGACCCAACATGTTTTTATTTAAAGAAACCATAAAGTGAGTGTTCTGGGCTAAAAATTGGTAATGATTGTTAGAGTTATGAGGAGTTACTTTGAGATTACAAGAGAAACTAATGTCACTACTGTTTGCTAAATTTACCTCTTCATAAGAGTCCTGAGGGATATTTAAATTATAGTTTAGTTCTTGGCCTAGGCCACAGTCAATAGGTGATTTTTGATTAGGTAAAATTGGTACACTACCCATTATAAAATATTCAGAGAGGTGTTTGTGGGCTGGGGAGATGATTCAGTGGGTAAAACACTTGCTACATGTGTAAGGACTTGAGTTTGAAGCCCTGGAACCCATGTAAAAGCCAGACTTGGTAGTGTGCATCTGTAACTTTGGTGCTTCTACAGTAAGATGGGAGGTGGGTTCAATTCTCAGCACCCCCATGGGCAGCTAACCATATGAACTTCTAGTTCCAGCAGATCAGAGACCGCCTTCTGACCTCCATAGGCATTGCATGACAGGGATGCACTTACACACATGCAGGCAGTATACTCAAAAAATAACTGCTAATGATCATATATGAGGCTCACTGTTAAAAGTGGTGTTTGGATATAAAATGTCCACCACAGTCTTCTGTGTTTAAACACTGCATCCCAATGGGCTGGAGAGATGGCTCAGCGGTTAAGAACACTGGCAGTAATTGCAGAAGACCTGGGTTCGAATCCCAGCACCCACATGGCAGCTAACAACTGTCCATAACCCCAGTCCTAGGGGATCTGACAACCTCTTCTGACCTCTGCAGGCATTGCATGACATGGGTGTACTTGCCTACATGCAGGCAATACACACACATACATAAAATAAAAATAATAAAATATTTTAAATATTCTGTCCACATCTGGTGGTGCTGCTTTGAGGAGGTTGTGAAATCTTTGAGACCTAGAACCTAATTGACTGATGGAGGCTATGGGGACAGGCCTTGAGGATTTTATTCAAGCCCTGTGTCTATTCTCTGCTAAGTAACAAGTTACACCACAAGCTGCCATCACCACAGACAGATGCATCCCAGCCATCCTGCCTTGCCCACCATCTTGGACTGTACCTTCTGAATGAACAGAATGTACCCTTAACATTGCTTCTGTCAGGTATTTTGTCAGAATGATAGAAAGCAATACAAAAATACTAAAAAAAAAAAAATCAAGATGTGTACTTCTTGTTATGATGTAGGGAAAGCATGTTTGTGCATGTTTGTTACCAGAGGCTCCAGAGTTGTGGGTAAGAATTAAAACAAATTATAATGTGATTTTCTCCCTGCTTAAGAAACTGATTTTTAAGATGGATAAGTATAATATTTATACAGACTAAGCAACAGGATCTTTAAGCATCAAGTTTCTGGAAAGATCACTAGATAAAATCTGAAGTCTTTGGTATTGACTAACAATTAGCTTCGTTGACTTTGGGAAATCAACTTCTGGTCCTTCTCAAGGTATAACAGGAAACATGCACTGCTTCAAGTGACTCTTAGAATATCCTGAAATGTAGGCCACAAAAATGGTGGTGGTGGTCTAATGTGTGGAATAACTACTTTTTCTTGTCTTAGTAATCTTGAAGAGCTTTTCACATTCTAATCAAATTTTGTGTTGAATTAGAGTGACTGGAATGCTTTCAGAGTTCCTTAGACCTTCCTGGATTTGACATGAACTACCTTCGCTAGATCGTTCAGCAAATAAGAGCATGCAATTTGCACTTTACCTCATCTTGACTTTCTCCTTTTTCCTTTTTTCTTTTTTTAAGGCATGGTCTCCCTGTAGCCCCAGCTGGCCTGAAACTCACTATGTAGACCAGGCTGGCCTTGAACTCACAGAGATCCACCGGCCTCTGCCGTCCAAATGCTGGGATTAAAAGTGTATGCCACCATGCCCAGCATATCTCATCTTGACTTTTAGTAGGAGGACTCTGACATTTGACATTGCTTTTCTTTCCAGAATCTTCAAAGCTCCTAAACTTCTACCTTCATGAAGCAGAAGGAAAAACAAGTTTCACTGAATACAACCTCACTGGTGAATAAAAGGCCGACGTTGTTCCCCAGACACGGCAGCTGAAAAGAACCCTGCACAAATTTCCATTTACTGTCTATTGACTATAGTTTTGTTTCTTCTGAGGGTTGGGGGCAGAATACAGTCTCACATGACTGGTCTGGAACTCACTGTGTAGCCAAGGACCATTTTGAATTCCTAATCTACCAGTCTTCACCCCCGGAGTGTTGGGAATACCACTGTGGACCCCCACACCCACCCAGTTATAATTAATGTAATATAATTAATGTTTAAACAGTTTTTTGTGGGTTTTTTAAGTTTGTTTTTACATTTATTCATTGGGCAGGTGGGAGTGCCACAGCAATTGATTGTGGAAATCAGAGGACAATTTGGATGTCCACTCTCTCCTTCCATCATGTGGGTCTGGGGATTGAACTCAGGTTGTCAGGTATGGTGGCAAGCACCTTTATCCACTGAGCCGCCTTACCAGCCCTAAACCCAGTTTTCTTTCTCCCATTTGAGTGCTCTATTTCACACTGCTGCTGTAATACTATTAGCCTAGTTTTTAAGAACACTAAGATTGACAAATGGTTTCACAGACCAACCTACCTCATTTTTATCCTCTGCTGATTTTCCTTAAAGATGAGCAAGTCTTTGGTCACTCGATTTAGTGTATAAATGCCATGGAGTAACAAAACCCTATACGCAGAGCAAATATGAAGCCATAATTCTACTGAAAACATTTGTCTCTGAAGTTTGAGCCAGACATTTTCATGGA